ATCACTGTAATTTTGTAATATTGCTTAAAATCTTGGATTGTGATTCCTCCTGACATCCTCTTGTTGCTTTTGCTATTCTGGATTTTTTCTGATTCCATATAAATTTTTGGATTGGTTTTTCTAGTTCTGTGAGGAATACTGTTGGCATTTTATTTGGGATTGCATAAATCTATTAATTTTGAAATTATGGCCATTTTGACTATATTGCTTCTGCCTATCCAGGAACAGGAGATGTCTTTCCATTTTCTGATGTCCTCTTCAATCTCCTTTTTTCAGAGTACCATAGTTTTCATTAAGAGGTCTTTCACTTCATTAGAATAATTCCTAAGTATTTGATTTTGTTTGAGGCTATTATGGACAGTATTGTTTTCATTATTGGTGTACAGAAACATTACTGATATTGTGTTGACTTTGTATCCTGCTGCCTTGCTGAATTCATTCGTTCTAGGAGTCCTCTGGAGTTTTTTGGGTCTTCTATGTAAAGGATCATGTTACCTATGTATAAAGATAGTTTAACTTCTTCCTTTCTTACACATCTCTCTTTTAATTGCTCTTGCTAAAGTTTCAAGTACTCTATAGTGATAATGAACATTCTTGTCTTGTTTCTGATTTAGAGGAAAAGCTTTCAGTTTTTGCCCATTTAATATGTTGGCAGTAACTTTTTTATAAATAGCTTTTTTTTGGTACCGCGGATTGAATTTGACCTTGTACTTGCAAGACAGGTGGTGGCACCACTGAGCTAAATCCCTGGCTCCTATCTTCAGAGTTTTGATCATGAATGTAGGTCAGATATCGTCAAAGGCTTTTTCTGTGTCTGTTGAGATGATTATGTTGTTTCTGTCCTTGCTTCTGTTTATATGGTACATTCCATTTATTTACTTGTATATGTTGAACCATCCTTGCATCCCTTGGATGAAGCCTACTTGGTCATAATGTATGATTTTTTGTTGTTGTTTTTTAAGGTTATTTCTTTTTTTGTTGTTTCGGGTTTTTTTTGGTACCAGGGATCGAACTCGGAACCTTGTGCTAGCAAGGCAGGCGCCAGAACCACTGAGCTAAATCCCCGGCTGCATGATCTTTTTGATAATTTATTGCATTCAGTTTGGCAGTAGGGATTTTTTTTTTTTTTAATTTTTTAAAATTTATTTTTATTTGTGTGTGTGTGTGTGTGTGTAGCCTTTTTACTCGCTTTTTTTTTTTTTTTTTGGTACCGGGGATCTTTTTTTTTTTTTTTTTTTGGTACCGGGGATCGAACTTGGGACCTTGTGCTTGCGAGGCAGGCGGAAGAACCACTGAGCTAAATCCCTGGCCCAAGGGATTTTTATATCTACATTTATTAAAGAGATTGGCCTGTACAGTAGTTTTCTTTTTCTTTTTCTTTTGGATGGATGGATCCTTACCTGGTTTTGGAATCAGGATAATGCTACCTTCCAGGGTAATGCCACCATGCCTAGCTATCTTGTTGTTTTTAAGGAATCTCTGAATAACTGGTCACGTCCCTCAGCCCTGTGTTCTAGTTCTGACAGTCTGACCTCATCTTGGTCACTTCTGCTCCCCATATTTTTGTGTTTATTTATGTTTTTGAAACAGGGTCTCACTATGCAGTTCAGGCTGGCCTTGAACTCACAGTGATCCTCCTGCCTCAGCCTCCCGAGGGCTGGGATTCCAGGTGTGTGCCATCATGCCTGGCTTGCTCCCCATACTTTGAATAGAATATTTTATCTTCTGGGTTTCTGTTTGGTACCTTTTCATAGACTCTTAATTCTTTGCTAAACTGTCATTCATGTTTTATATCACTTTGTTTAGCTCAGCAAGCTTTATATTAGTGACTTCTGTAATCCGACTGATCACTTTTTATTGAGTCAATTGTCTGTTATATAATCTTTGAGCTTGTTGAGCACCTTATTGATCTGTCTTTTTTGTCTCTTATCATTTCATATAATTCAGTTGTTTGGCTTTTGATTTCCTTTCCATCTATCCCCCATGGATCAACTTTGGGGAAGTTGAGACTTTTGGGAGGTACTTTGTGGCCTTGTTTTTTCTTTCTTTCTTTCTTTCTTTCTCTTTTTCTTTCTTTTTTCTTTTTCTTTCTTTCTTTCTTTCTCTTTTGTGCTGAGGGTTGTGGGTCAATTATAACAGAAATATTTTGTTGGTAGTATAGTGATCTCTGTATCTCCTCTTTAGTTAGTGTCTGCTTTTCACTGAAGCACTCTGGTCTGGCTAACTATATGCCTTTGTCTCTGTCCCAAGATAAAAACACCTCCATTAATTTGGGGAGGAGGGTGCAGTGTAATTGGACCAGCACCCAGTTATCCAGAAATTGATTGCAATATTGTTGATGACACATAAACCAGATATTGACATACAGTAAAAACAATATTGGGCCGGGGATTTAGCTCGGTGGTTCCTTTGCCTCCCGCACAAGCTCAAGGTCCTGAGTTCAATCCCTGGTACCAAAAAACAAAACAACAACAACAACAAAAAGTTAATAGCAAAAACTATGCTGTCCTGGCAGTAGCAATGAAATCATCAACAATGATAGAGTCAAAGGTAAGCTGGATATTGACATATTATACGAACCAATGCAAACTACCACTGCAACAGCCTTAACAATAGAAAAGATATCTGTAAGTCAGACACAAAGACAAACCAAATATTGTCCTACCTTAAATATCTACTGAATGCAAAAATTGTACCACTAATGACAATAGAAAAGAATTCAAGAATAATAGCATACAGTCAACTAAATACCTAAAGATTAATAAAGCTTAATAATAATACTAGTAAGGATGGATGGGGCAATGAATAGGAAAATGGAAAAAGTAAAATTTGAAAAATGAAAGATGTGAAGGAGGAGAGAAAAGTGAAGTAAATGATCTTATTAAGGAGTAAAAGAAAAAAGAAGTAGATCATAGTAACAGAAAAGAACAAATTAGAAAAATGAAAAAATACAGAACAAAATAAAAAGAGGAGAAAAAAGTACCAAACCCCAAAAAAGTAATGAGTAAAAAGAGAAATGAGTGTTTTTGAATGAATGGTTTCTTTCCAGGATCTGCAGTGTTGGAATCCACCAGATGTGAGGGAGGACTAGTGAGTCACTGCTAGACTCATTTTGTTTGCATACTCATGTTTTTATGTGTGAATGCTGAATCCTGCTCTGCCTTTCCTACTGGGTGTGGTTGTTAACAGTGTCTGTGGTTGGGCTGTATTCACTCCAGCAGCTCCTGCTTTTCAGGTTCCTCTGTGCACCCCATGACACAGCTTTCTTGGCCTAGCTTTGGGCCTGTGGGTTTGTGAGGTTCCCCTCCCCTGCTTGCTCCAGAGGCCCCTCTGTCCATATACCCCAGGGTGTGGCAAGCATTCAAGCTGAAGTGTATTCCTGATCACATGGGAGATGGGGAGAGCAAACAGACCGCTAAACTTTCTGTTGTTGGAGTTAGCCAGGTGTTGGGCCCACACAGTCGGGTGGATTTAATGTCTGCACCATCAGACCCAAGCCCCTCCCAAAGCCATCTATAGCTGGCCTGGCTTCTCAGCTCAGAGTGCAGGACCTCCTGTCTCTCACGCCCAAGCTTAAACTTCTCAGTAGATCTAGGTCTAGCCTGTACCCTCCCTACCTCTTGACTTGAGCACATGCTGTGGCTATGATTTGTGCCGGCATGTTCTGACATGTTCTCGCTCTCTCTTCCCTATCCTGTGGATTTTTGTCTTTTTGCAGTGCTGGAGATGGAACCTAGGACCTTTGCCCTGAACTACCTCCCTGGCTCCTCTTCAGTTTTTTAAAGTTTTGGGACAGGGTCTTACTAAGTTGCTAAATTGTTCCGTCTAGGCTCAAATTTGTGATCTTTTTGTCTCAGGCTTCCAGAGTGCTGGGATTACAGGCATTTCCCATCATCCTGGTTTCCCTCTTGTGGGTCTTGATCTTTAGAAGAGGTGCCAGTGAATGGTGAAATTGGTCTAAATCCATGGTGTTGGGGAGGGTACAGGGCGAGAGGGAGAATCCACGTTCTGTGGCATGCTTGTTCTGTAAACCTCAGATTGGGGAAAGGTCACTACTCCACCTAAGCAACCTGCAGTGGGGACCTGCTCTGTGAGTAGAGCAACACCTGGTAGCAGAGGTCACCTAGTATTTACCTTTAGCTGTTTACCTGTGACATCTACACTTTAAGGTGGAATTAACCATCCTAGGCCAGGGACACACAGCCTGTGATCCCATTTCTATTTTAGTCACTTCCATCCTGAACAGAAGGACAGTTCCGCAGAAGTGGCCTTGGAGGTGCCCTGCCCATGGAGGGCCTTTGGCTGCTGTCCTGGGATAGCATATAGGAGGTTGAACTGTGACTTGTTATTTCAAGTATCCTGGGTTGTCTCTTGGACATCCCTGCTCTGGCAGGCTGAGTGTCTGTGTCGTGCTGTCTCTGCTGCATGTGTGTCAAATTCACATGTTGAACCAGCTGCCTTTTTGCAGTGGACTTATTGCCCTGTATGCTTTGAAATAGCTTTATCAACAACCTGTAGAAGTGTTTCAGCTCTGTGCCAACCATATTGAATCACAGCTGGCTTTCATACTGCTGTGCTGCCTACAAGAGAAATGGGGGTCATAAGGCTTTCTGTTACCAGAGTAGACACTGGGCTTTATACTGTCTTGACTTTTTTTTCTTTAATTTAAAAAATTTTTTAAATTTATTATTTTCTTTTTATAAATTTTTTTTTTATTTTGACTTTAGAAATGAAGTAAAAATGTGACGTTTAAAGGCTTTGGTCCAATATTTCCTTCCCTTTCCCTTATGTACTTTCTTAAGATAGTGGTAGAAGTAGATTTGGAGAACAGTTCAGAAAGTGCTTTTTCAAATGCATAGACATGAAAATCTTGTGGACTTTCTGTTCCAAGATTTTTTTTTTTAAAGAAATGCAAAAAGGGCTGGGAAACAGTGGCTTACCAGTGTTAAAACCAGTCTGTTTTTGTCTTTCTTTGTTTTTTTCTCTTTTTAAAAATGTAGCTGCAGACAGTAAGGATGAAGAACTCAAAGTGCCCCCAAGGCGGTTCTGTCTGGGTATGTACCATGCTGCATGAGGCTGCCATGAAGACGTTTGCTGTATTTCACTCTGAAACTCTGTCCCTCTGCCGTCCCATCCTCCTCTGCGCTTGCCTTGAACTGTGCACGTGAATGGTTTTACCAAGCATGGCTTTGTCTACAGTATACTCACCACAGCACTGCTTCTCTTAAGCATGAAGTAGTTCTTAAATGCCTGTTTTCTGGATGTGTGTGTGTGTGTGTGTGTGTGTGTGTGTGTAGGGAGGGAGAGGGAGGGAGGGAGGGAGAGAGGGAGAAAGGTGGAAGGAAGGAGAAAATCTAGTTTACAAATTTTAGATTTCCTTGGTTAACTTTATTCGACACTAATTCTTTTTGATGCTGTTGTAAATAGAATTGTCTCCTATTTGCATCTTGAATTGTTCATCGCTAGTTTGTAGAAATAAAGTTGATTATTACATACTGATCTGGTATCATACAATATTGCTGAACTATTTTAAGTGTAGTTGTTGTTGAGTAGATTTCTGTATATGATCATGTCGTTTGCATGCAAACAGAGACAGTTTTACTTCTTCCTTTCTAATCTGCTACTTTTTATTATTTCTTGCCTAATTAATTACCCTGGATACATGTGGTGAGAATAGACATACTTGTCTGTTTTTTTGTTGTTGCTTTTTTGAGACAGGGTCTTCCTGTGTAGTTCAGGCTGGTCTTGAACTCAGTATATAGTCCAGGCTGGCCTCAGACTTGAACTGATCCTCTTGCCTCAGCCTCCTGAGTATGTCTTCTTTCAGTGTTGTGAGAAGCCCTTTGTTATTTCACCATTAAGCATGGTGTCAGTTACATGGATTTTTCATAGTTGTCTTTTTTAATAGCTGAAGGGAGTTTTCTACTGTTCTGAGTTTACAGTTTTGTTTCGTTTTATCATGAACTAATGTTGGAGTTTGCCAGGTGAATTGCTACATCTGTGGAGATGATCGTGTGGTTTGTTTTCTATTCTCGTTACATACAGTACATTACACTGTTTGATTTTTATGTGTTGGATTAACTCTTCATTCTTGGGATGAATCTCATTTGATCATAGTGCATAATACTTTTTACAACTGGATGCTGTTTGCTAGTATTATGTTGAGGACTTTTTGGACCCTATTCTTAAAAGATATTGGCCTATAGTATTCTTAAGATACTACTGGCCTTATAAAATAAATAGGGAGCTAGGTGTGGTGGTGCACACCCATAATCCCAGTATTGTGGGACAGCGATGCAGATTTGCAAGTCTGAACCCTGCCTGGGAAACTTAGTGGCTTAGTAAGACCCTGTCTCAAAATGAAAAATTAGGGCTGAGGATTTAGCTCAGTGGCACCACATCTGCCTTGAAATCGCAAGGTCCTGAGTTCGATCCCCAGTACCACAAAATAAATAAATAAATAAGGAAGGGCTTGGGCTATAGCCCAGTGGGAAGGCCCTGGGTTCAGTCACCAGTGTTACAAAATGAATGAATGAGTAAATGGATGAATATTGGGAAGTAGTTCCTCCTCTTCTGTTTTTTGTTTTTGGTACCGGGGGATCGAACTTGGGTCCTTGTACTTGCGAGACAGGCGGCAGAACCACTGAGCTAAATCCCTGCCCCCCCCCTTCTGTTTTTAAAGAGAGTGTGAAGGATTGGTATTGATTTCTCTTGATTTGGTACAGTTACTCAGTGAAGCTGTCTGGGTCTGGGCTTTTCTTTGTGGGAAGTTTTAAAATTACTCAGTCTCTTGTTAGAAGTTTATTTAGCTTTTCTGTTTCTTCTTAAGTTTTGGTTTGTCTGCTGGAGTTTATTCATCCCATTGAAGTTGTTTGACACACAGTTTTTATCAGCATTCTCTTAAATCCTCCCTTCCCCTCATAATCCTTTCTATTTCTGTGAAGTCCCTAATCGCCGTCCCTCTCTTATTCTTGATTTGGTATTTGAGTCCCTATCTTTGTTTTTTAATCACTGGTTAAAGGTTTTTTTAATTTTACTGATCTTTTCAAAAAACTAGCTTTTGGTTTGCTTGATGTTTTTCTATTGATTTTGTACTTTCTAGTTTGTTTAATTTCACTGTAATATTATTTCTTTTCTGTTGCTTGTTCTGGGATTAGTTTGCTCTTTTTCTACTTTAAGGTGAAGGGTTAAATTTAGCTTTTTTTTCTTTCTTACTCTGAAATGTAGATGTTTACAGCCACAATTTACCTCTTATCAGTGCTGGAGCTGCATTCTATGAGTTTTGATATGTTGTGTTTTGTTTTTGTTTATTGTACATTATTTTCTCATTTCCTTCATGAAGTCTTCTTTGGCCTTTTTATTATTTAGGAGTACACTGTGACTTCTATATGTTTGTGAATTCCCCAAATTTCTTTCACTGATTCCTGATTTTCATTGGAATTATAGAACGTACTTTGATTTCAATACTTTTAAATTAAGGCAAGTTTTGAGGCCTAACTTGTGGTCTGTCATAGAGAACAGTCATGTTCACATGAGATGAGTGTGTTTTCTTGTTGGGTGGAGGAGAGAGCTGTCTGTTAGGGCTAGTGGTTTATAGTATTGCTTAGGTCTTTGCTTCCCTAATTATTCATTGCGTAATTGTTACATCCATTACAGAAGTTGGTTTTGAAGTTTCCAAGTGTTTTTGAATTTTCTTTCTTCCTTTTCATTTCTGTCAAGTTTTTGCTTTGTATATTTTAGGGCACATTGTTAAGTGTGTGTGCCTTTGGGCACATTGTTAAGTGGGAGTATCTTCCTGATGGATTGATGCTTTTGTCATTATGAAATGTCCATCTTTACCTCTAGTGATACTTCTGGTTTTAAAGCTTATTCCACTATTAGTATAGCCTCTGGAGATCTCCTGTGGTTGCTGTTTGTGATTAGTATATCTTTTTCTGTTCTTATAATTTTGATCTATCTGAATCTAAAGTGTATATTCTGTACACAACATATATGGGAAGAGTCTTTAAAATTTTTATTCTGGCAATCCTACTTTTTATCTGATTGTTTGATTCACATTTAATGTTTTGGTTTTTTTGGTACTGGGGATCGAACTGAGGACCTTGCTCTTGCGAAGCAGGCGTGGTGCCACTGAGCTAAATCCCTGGCCACATTTAATGTTTAATGTTTGGACTTATATCTGTGTCTTACTTTTCATTTCCTATATTCCCATGATTTTTCCTGGCATTTGCTTCTTTACAGGTTTTTAACTCTATGTTGAGAGTTCCTGGTAGTTGCTTTAAGGCTTAAAATGTGTTTTGTTTTGCTTTGTTTTTTGGTCCTGAAGATTGAACCAAGGTCCTAGAACTGAGCTACATCTTTCAACCCTTTTTAATTTTGTTTTGAGACACAGACTTACCAAGTTGCCCAGGCTGGCCTTAAACTTGAGATCCTTCTGCTTAGACTCCTGAGTAGCTGGGATCACAGGCATTAACAAGTATATTTTGTTATGGTACACATTTTAACTTAACAGAATGTACTTCAAATTTATATTAGTTTAATTTTTGTGAGATAAGAAACTTCACCCCCACATATTTGTTTCTCCCTTTTTTAGATGGCTTTTTGTGTGTGTGTGTTTGTGTGTGTGTGTGTGTGTGTGTGTGGAATTAAACTTCTTTGCACTGAGCTACATCCCAACTCCTTTTTAAAAATTTATTTTGTATTTATAGACCAAGTCTTGCTTAGTTGCCTTGGCTGGAATGAAACTTGCCCTGTCCTGCCCCAGCCTCCCAGAGTGCTGGGATTACAGACATGTACCATTACTCATGGCTTGGTGGTATGATTTTTATACATACTGGGTCTCTACATCTCATAGATCTAAAAATGTATTTTTCTAATTGTTACTTTGTATAGATTTATGTCTTTGGAGCAGAGGGAAAAAGGAGAACAAATGTCTAATACAGCATTACAGTATTAACTGTATTTACCCTTTCTGGCTCTTATTTCTTTCTGTGGATTTGATTTACCAACTCTATCACCTCCTTTCTCTAAAAATTTTATTCTGCCAATCCTAGCTTCATTTCTACTACCCCAGTTTTATTTGCGTTGTTATTGTCAAATATCTGTGTCTGTGTTAAAGGTTCCCAAGTAACACTGCACATGTTGTTTCCTGCAGTTGCATTTTAAGCCAGTTGAGAGGGGAAGGAAGAAATGTGCATTTGTGTTCCTTTGTAATAGCTGACATACAGTAATTACCTTTATGTACTCGCTACGTTTTCTCATGTGCATTTGAATCACCTCTGATGTCACTTGCTTTCACCAGGAGAGCTTGCTTACTTTCATGTTTCCTATTGGGTGGCTCTGCCAGCAACAGATTCTCCCAGTTCTTGTTTACCTGGAAATGTTTTTATTTTGACCTTATTTAAAAAGAAAAGTTTTACCATAAGAAACTCGGTTAATGGTTCTTTTTCTTTTCAGCCCTTTGACTGTTGTCCCACTGCCTTCTGGACTCCATTGTTTCTGATGAGAAGTCAGCCGTTAATCTTATTGGGGTTTCTTGTAAGTGACAAATCATTTTTTTCTTGTTGCTTTTGAGAGTTTAGTCTTTTTCTTTGGCATTCAGCATTTAGATTAGGAGGTGTCAAGTTGTGGATGTCTTTCTGTACATTGCACAAGGAGTTAATTGAGCTTCTTGAGTGTTAGGTTAAGATTGCATCCTTTGAAGTTTTCAGTCACAATCTGAGTATCTTTCCTGCTCCTTCCTCTGTCTTTCCTTTCCTTTAGTATACTCATTGTACATGTGTGGGTACCTTGAATATTGTCTCACAGTTCGCAAAGGTTCTTCTCTTTTTTTCTATTTTCTCTTTGTTTTTGAGGTTGCATGCTTTTATTGATGACTCTGTAAGCTCACTGTCTCTGCATCTGCTCAGCTCTGTTGTTGAGCTTTGACAGTGAATCTTTTGTTTCAGTTGTACTTTGCAACTCTAGAATTTCTGTTTGATTCTCTTCACCATTTCTGTCCCTTTACTGATGTGTACTATTTGATGGAATGCTGTCCTCATGCCTCCTTTTAATT